AGTGAATATACCTATCTCTCTGTGTTGCTCTGCCTTTCAAACAAACAAGTCCTTAGAAGAAAAAAAAAAGAAAAGAAAAGCAGTGTTTGCTAATCTAGCAGGGTAACCACCGAGATGTCCATTGTATGAAGTCAACACCCTGAAAAACGAACTCCGCGACGTATCTCAGCGCTTGTATTCTTAAATGTATTCTAAATGCACGTGTTAATTCAAAGTACCAGCCGACACCTGTACACTAAGGTTCATTTATTTCTTAGATTTCTGAGCCTGCAGTGAGACTATGAAGTGCAAACTGAGAAAAAACAACGTAATAAACGGATGAGGCTGGGTGTTTCCTGTGCCTGCAGAGCCCTGAGCTCCAAGCACAGGGCAGTGAGGGGCAGAGGGCGTGACGTGCTGCACGCAGGGCCAGCTCAGGGCGGCAGTGACTTGGAGGTGTCCACCCAGGAGCCTCGGCACCCATCAGCGGTCACTAAACAGGAAGTTCAAACAAGGGATGAGGCGGCCAACTTACAAGAGCACCTGGGACAAGGCCTGCCCACCTGCAGGCCATCAGTACTAAGGCATGAACGGCTGTTTGCACCTGTGCCAGGGAGTGTGGGATGGGCCACCTGCCCCCTCCCCCCCACTCTGCCCCGTACGCCAGGAGCCTCAGGCTGGGGCATCTCCTCCCCACTCCCCGATGTGAGTGGCAAGGCAGGCCCAGGGAGAGGTGGACGAGGAGGAACACACAGGGCCTCCAGCTCAAGGCCACAGCTGCCATGGCTTCTCTGGGCTACAGGTGGGATTCTCAGCTCCCCCTAACCACTCCCTCTCTAGGCCCTCCCGGGGGGCAGCGGCTGTCTGAGTCCACTCCCAGGTGCCTGGGCGTCCTGCACGGGCCTCCCTCATCAAGCACTTCAAACAGTCCCTCCTGGGTAACCTCCCGCTACACCACGACCCACTTCCTGCCCAGGCACGGCGTGACCAGGACGCAGGCAGCATGCCTAGGTGCCCTTCCTGATTCCAGTGCAAGGTTTGCCTGCAACCCCCAGTCACCGGTGCCCACTGTGCCACCCCCTTAGCGCTCCACACCCGGCACAGAGCCCCAGACAGCAGGGAGCAACCGGCCCCACAGCGGCCGCCGCCTCCAGCCCTGGCATCTGCACCTCCGGCCCCAGGCTGCTTTCCACGCCTGGTTCTCCTGCCTGTTTCAACTCCTGGTCTTAACTCGGCAGGCACCAGTCCAGCCGGCCTGGTCGAGCGAGAGCCCCAGCCCCAGCGGTGGTAACCAGACTGGAAGCACCGGGCACTGTCTCACCTCTGGAAGCCTGGCAGCTCCTGTCCCGCGACCTGCGCCTGGCAGACTTGTTTATCAGTCGAAGGGGAGGAGCCCTGAGCCCCTACAGGTGGGTAACTCCTGACAGAAGCTGTGGAAACCAGGAACAGGTGCGCCCGGCTCGCCTTAACCTGGGGGCGCACTGTGGTAAAGTGAGCGGAAACCTGGGTTTCACTCGGGCTCCTCGCAGGACTCGCCGTGTCCACTGCTCCTGCCATTCCACTTCAGAGTGGACAGCGAGAGAAGACCGAAAACTGCCCAGAATGCCAGCCGCCAGGACAGAGCATGCGCTGTGCCACGTGACCCCAGCCCTGGTCCAGGCTCCTCCCCTGCATGGAACACGGCCCCCTCCCCATGCAGGGGCAGGGGAGGAGCCCGGGTGCGGAGCAAGGCACCAGGCCCTGTGCAAGCCCAAGGGGGCCTGAGGGGAACAGGACCTCAGGGGCCCAACACTCCCCACGGGGCGCAGGGCTGGGCTCAGACTCCACGGAGAGAGAGGCAGGGCTGACTCCACCCCAGACCCCTCCCACTGGGTGTGCGGGGCCCGCAGACAGTTCATTCTCAGAGTGTGGGCCTCCCGGAATTCCGCCTTCTCAGCCCCCCCCCCCCCCCCCCCGCCAAGGCCCAGGCAATCAGGAACCCGGAGCCGAGCCCACCAGCTGTGTCCTAGGGAGCTCTCTCCGGGTGATTCTGGGCACGTCAGAACCGAGAACACTGACCCAGAACGCAAACTTAGATGACGTTTTCCAAAATAGCCCCACCTCTCCTGCAAATCTGATCTTCTAAATTATTTACTTTGAGGTCAGGAAAAACACCCACTGGCCGTTCCCCCTTGGGATTCAGAGGACGCCTGCTCCGGAATGCGGTGGAGAGATCCTGTAGAAGGCGCTGGCGTCTGTGTGGGCACAGCCCTCGCGCGAGGTTCACCCTCACCAGGCTCTGCGGTGGGTTTTGGGGGCTATTCCCTGGACCCCAGCACCCACAGCAGAGCCTGGCACCGACGCTGGTGGGAAGAAAAGACCAGCACAGCCGACGGAGGGGAGGCGGCGCTGGCGCTGCTGCCTGCATCACAGAGTCGGCCGGAAACGGCACCCCCGTGGCGGAGCCCCAGGAGCAGCCCACGCGGGGTGCAGCCGGAGGCGGCGGGGCCGGCAGGACTCCTGTCCACACCTGTGCCCCAGCAGCAACAGCTGCTCTGAGCAAAGACTTGTGGGACTCGCTGAGGCTCCAGGTCTCTGGGGGATTCTGAGCGGGGTCACGAGGCTGGCACCGAGTCGGGGTGTGTGTCCTGTCAGAGCACTATTTTTAAAAAGGCAAGCGGGAGGTGGGCAAACTGCTTGGAAGCTGCATTTTCACGGCAATTGGGGGAGAAATCCGACTTCTTACCAGAAATGGAAACCCATGTGACGGCACTGAGCTGCACATGAATGATTAATGTGCATCATCCTTTTGTTTTTGCAAATTCGGTATTCAGGAAGGTTCCTGCTGACGTCATGTTTGACATCATAATGCTTCATCATTCTAAAAGCTTAATGAAATGAATTCTTGCTAGAAAAGAGAGATGAAGCACACAGCTCGGTACTCCGGGGAATACCAGAGGCCACGCAGATAATGAGGACGTGGTTTCTAACTGATGGAGGAGGAGGAGGAAACTTACAGCCCGCCCCCCACACCCCTCCACTGTAAGCACGACCAGTCACCAAAGACGTGTGTTTCCACCGGAACATTCTGGAAAGGGGGGGCTGTGACTAGTGACTCAAACTCTTAAGGCAAAAGGCAAATTCTTGTTCTAAAAAGAAATGAAAGCAATGTTTTTATAAATCACTCACCAAGGGGTAAGGGACATGTGAAATTCAAGATTAAAAGAAAATCGAAAATTGAAAATAAAATAAGGGCAGAGTGAGAAACCCTAACAGGATGGCAGTGTCAGCCATGGTAGAGAGATTCTGAGATCGAATCCAGCGTGGTCTGCATTCCTGACCTGGGCTCACATTTAGTCCCAAATCGCTGGCTTCTGAGACCGACATCAGCGAGGCGACTCCAAGCCAGCAGCTGGCTGGGATGAATGTGGGGTGCTGAGGAGCAAAGCGGGTTCGGACCCTGCCCTGGGAGGTCCTCGCACACTCAGGCCAAGCTGCCCGGAGAGTGACACCCGTTGGCGCCAGCTGCTACTGAGCAGGACTCGCGTTCTCTCCGGCTTCTACCTCCGCTAGTTTCTAAGCAGGCTCTCGAGGGAAGTGCTAATGGAGAACCGCCTCGCTCATTAGTCCTCCTTTCAATGGACAGGCGTGGAGCAGCCGAGTGGCCAGGTACTAAATTGAGGTCCTTGCTAGTTTGAAAGACAAAAACACACAGTTTCTCTTGAGCGACCCCAAAAACGCATCGCCCAGCGCCCAAGATGTCAGCATTCTGAACTACTGTTTCCTCTCCGGCAGGTAGCGAAAGCAGTCTCTGGACAAGGTCCCGCCCCAATGCACCCCAGGCGACAGGTTCATCCCCTACCACCGCCCCCGGGGCTCATGGTGATGATGACTGTCACACTGTAAATAAACACTGCTTGGGCTTCACGCTATAAAATCAGGTTTTTTTCTTTAAAGAAAAAACTATGTTCATTAAAAGCAGCTTTCGGTCTTCCCGATGGAAGCCGGCACCTGCCTCCCTCTCTCCCATTCTCCCGAGGACCTGCTCGCCTTCGCAAAGGTTGAGTGTTTAACTCCACAAAGCTGTCGGCCTCAGCTCGCAGGTGTGCCCTGGCAGCCCTGGGCGTGCGGGGCAGCAGTTCCTGTACTGCACAGCGCAGCTCAAAGGCTGACTTGAGTTCCGCCTTGGACTACAACCGTCAGTCCTCTGAGGGGCCGGCACAAGCCACAGGTTAAAACCCAGGTGTGCCCTATCAGAGTTCCTGGGTTCAACACCTGGCTCCGGCTTCCTGCCAAGCCAGACCCACCCCCAACCACATGGGAGACCACCTGTCTCGAGTTGCCGGCTCTCAGAGCACAAGCCACCCGGTCCAGCCCCAGCCCAGGCCCTGGAGTGCTTTAGGGGCGTGAACTAGCAGATGGGAAAACTCGCGTGCTCTCAACAATATAAAAAAATTAAAAAGCAAAAACCAGTAGTACTTTTGAGAACATACAGCAGGTATGCCCATTTACCTCCCAGCTCCCTTCTCTGGAACAGAGGAGCTGCGGGCGCTGAGCCCTCCTCCTCCGACAGCCGCGCGGCGCTGGAAGCCACGTCCCTCCCCGCCACTCTGCGGACACTGCGCGCTCACGGCCCGGACGCAGCCAACCCCGGGAACCGCCAGAGAGCCGGGCTCCAGCTCCACTCTGCGGCCCTCGCTCTGGTCCCTGGCCCACACCTGTGCTCAAACAGAAACATCGGCTTCATTCCCAATCCCGGCCACGCTGCCGGTGAGGTCTGGGCGCAGGGCACTGTCGCGCCCTGGGGTTGGGTCGGTGCCGGCCACCCGAGCGCGCAAGGCCAGCACTGCCTGGATCCCAGCCCGCCCCCGGTCGGGACGCCCCCAGAGACCCCTCCTCGAGCCCACTGAACCACAGCCCTGCTCCCCACGCGCGCCCTGTGCGCCCGGCTCGCGATGCCTGGGCCCGCATCACCTCCACAAGTGGAAAGTGAGCTCCGCGCCACCCCGCCGGGCCCAACCCGCGCCCCCAGCCTGGCTCACCTGGACGCCGGCGGCGCGACATGTCTGGGTCTCGGCCTCCGCGCTGCCGCAACAGGGGCGCCTCCGGCCCCTGCAGGTGGTCGTGGCGTGGGCCGCGGAGCCCGCGCTACTGCCGCTGCCCAGCTCGGCGCGCGCCCTGCGGACGCGGGCGGCGCCCGGGGGTCCCGGCGCGCGGCTCCGGGACACGGCGTCGGCGGCGTCGACGGGACCCAGCGACGCGCCGGGGGCCTGGCGGGGCGAGCCGGACGCGTCCGAGTCG